CATCCATCCATCCTTCCATCCATCCTTCCATCCATCTATTCATCCATCCATCCATCCATCCATCCTGCCTTACATTATTACACTCTTCCTTCTTCTTTTCTTTCCTTAATGTATTCTCTCTTGTTTCAGAAACCAATGTTACAAGGACCAGAACATTACCCTCACACTACCCTCGAGACACTCTCATGATTATTGACTCAGTCCTCACAGGATGGTTTACACTCGAGTTCATCCTACGCGTGGCCTTCTCCCCCAGTAAGATCCAGTTCATTTTCAAATTCCAAAACTGGGTGGACCTCTTCGTCTTGATACCACTATACCTCATGCTAGCCTTTGAACGCTCTCTTACAATTGATATTCTCAACACTCTTCGACTCATAAGAAYATTCCGGTGTTTCAAGCTGTTGTATGATCTTCAGATCCTGACCAAGACGGTCAAAGCGAGCCGCCAACATCTCATGATTCTTCTATTCATCCTCATCATTCCTGTCATTGTCTTCTCGAGTCTCATCGTTTACTCAGAAACCAAATGGGGAAACGATGAATCCAAGAAGAAATTCCATAGCATTCCTAATTCGGTATGGTGGGGTATCATCACCATGACAACGGTGGGGTACGGCGACATGGTACCGGCAACGTTCGTGGGGAAGATAATAGGTGGTATTGCCTCCATATGCGGTGTGATTATCCTATCCACGTCGGCCTCCGTGGTTGGCAGTACATTTTCATTGTATTACAATCTTGCGCAAGCGCAGATGAAGATCCCTGAAAAGCGCCGAAAAATTGACGTTGAATTCCAAAGTCTCCCATCAGTCCTTGCGTGCCGTTCAAGCCAGGCTGATTCCACTGTGACGTCATCGGACAGCGGTTATCAAAAGTCTCCCAATCGGCTTCAGATTTGTGACAGAAACAGTTTTGCCTTCGAGGGAAATAACGGTCATAATGCGGCAAGTAAAATGCCTTGTATGTGCACTTGTACAAGAGAAACTAGCTCGTCTGTTGCTATCCCCATGACGCATGTGCCGACGTCACCAAGGCCACCTTTGACGAGGAAGGCAAGTATTAGAAGAGAGAGTATCCTTGTGTAATATGCTGTGTTGAGATGGGCGAGAAAACTATGTTAGCCATGACGAGATTGAATGGTGAATGTACTTCACAGTAATACATCCATGCAAACGATTCCAAGAGACTGTGTGGGACACTAACATAGAAAAATAAAGAATGCTAATGAAATATGCTAGGTTAAACGAGAACTATATCAGCCATGATGAGGTGGATTTGAAATGTTAAGAAAATATAAACAGGTATCCCCTCCAGACATAATCCATTATAACAATCTCAGGATGCTGTAGGAAGCATATTGGGGTGACACACACCCAATGGAATGAATGATAGAAACACGTGCCCAAAGTTATAATCCATTATAACAATCTCAGGATGTCGTAGGAAGTATATTAGGGTGACACACCCAATGGAATGAATGATAGAAACACGTGCCCAAAGGTATAATCCATTATCACAATCTCAGGATGTTGTATGAAGCATATTGGGGTGACACACACCCAATGGACTAAATGATAGAAACACATACCCCAGATATAATCCATTCTTACGATATTTAGGAGATTGTAGGAAAAATATTGGAGCAACATACACCCATAAGTACCCAACACCCAGCCTGTGGACTTGAAARACAATATTGAGTGACTGTAATATATTGTGTAAAAATATATGATAGCATACATGCTTTAGATCGCTATCCTTTGACCACGTCAGTTCTACATTCTGCTGGTTCCTCGTGGTAATGAGAGTGATTTGACTTGGCCCGTGAAACAAAGATAAAAGTGATAAAAAAGAAGAAAAAAACAATGGGAAAAGAATTTCATTACTACCGAATTATACTTGCTATTTTTTTCATGGGCCAATAAGTAAAGCCACTCTAAATAACATGAAATAATAACTGCTAAAAGAGGTCGGTAATAAGTGTGTAAATATATAAATCATTTATGAGCTCGCGGCAAATTTATCTTACAGATATAATCAATTGAATCATTTTTTGTATAAAATATAAAGTGTATAATTTAGTATTGCGTCCTGGGAAATAGGTGTTAGTGTATATATAGCACTATCAAGAGAAAATGAACAAAGAGAAGGAATCCCCGTGCCCCATCATGTGCACACTTTGATGCTATTTTTAGAATCATTGATGCTATTTTTAACTCGTTACCATGCCCGCGCGATAATCATGCTTCCCTTTAATGCCTCGTTTTAGGACACGAAAAGCGCCATATTTCTCTACGTCCACGACAAAAACACAGGCTTTGTTTACTGTAAGACTGGAAGCCGCCTACTCTCAAGAAATCAACCAATCAGGTTCTTCGCTTAAAATGTCTCCAAGGTAAAAATAGCAACAAATTGTGCACATGATGGTTACAAGGCTATATGGGTAGGATTCCTTCTCTTATTTCATATTCTCTTGGCACTATTACACTCTACTTGTCTCGTTTTCTGTTTTGTGTTATTCTGACTATTACACGCTAATAAATAGTACACTTTGTTTCACGGGTTAATGAAAATTACTTTAAATACGGTAAGTAGAATGAAATCACTAAACCCATGAAATAGATTTTAGACTAATATACATTGGTAGGACCTAATTCCATTGTTTTCATTAGTGCCTATTACACGTTGACTGGTATTTTTTCATTTCAAGTTTAAATAATTTCACTCTATTACTGAGTGCTAAACTACATGTAAAATAATTAATATTATTATTATATATTAAAGACATAAACCAGAAAGTCGTTTGTTTCTCGAGGAAACTGACTAGCAGAAGAAAGACTGAAGAAGGAAGGTTTATAAGGAGGACAARACAATTTCTTTATCGTACTGGATTCTAAATTCCTTGTCGTTGAAATAGAGACAATAATACTTCAATATATTGACTTGGTTTCTCAACAAAAATTGATTAACGTTTACACAATAAAAATATATACTTTTTTTGACTGTAATGAAAATGCTTATATGTGCGCATACATGCGTATAAAATGCGTAAAATCCAGCGCTTAAACCCCTGCCCCTCCCCTACAAATTTACCCAAAAGCGTTGATCTTAATCCATAGCAGCATTGAGATAAATAGCGGCGTATGTTGCTGCAACCATTATGATACTTAAGATAAAGAAAAGCTGATTGAGAAGGATAGAAATGTCTTGCCAAGTTGGACTTTCAAATTCCTGCGAATCATTTTGCTCAAAGATAGCAGGGATGTGAGGTGGGGCATCCAATTCCTTTAACGCGACTTCGTTCACGTAGAGATTACTCTGCGAGATTGATTTTTGGGGGCGTGATTTTGTAGAAGGCGGTTTTTTCCCAAGGCATGGACAACAGCAACAGTAGAATCTTTGCAGCCAAGCTGGGGGTTCTCCAGTGCCGTGAAAGCATCTCAGGACAATGATTGTTTCTATAAGAATAACTGCATTCTCTGTTATGGCAACGATGAACAGAAGACCTGTGATAGGGATCTGTTTAGACGTTTCTGGTAGAACGTCAGCGATTATGAGCAAATACACCGACATGGCGAGCATAATGGTGGTAATGAAACCAATTCTCTCTCCACTTTCGCTTGGAATTATGAAGCTCAAAAGAGATAAAAGACACAAAATAGCACTCGGTATAAGGAGATTCAGTACGAAGTACATGGGCTTTCGTTTAAGAATCAGCTCAAACCCAACCACGCTGAAAGCATCAGAACAACAGCTTGATAAATCTTCTTTTCTCAAAACGTCGATCGTCTGGACAGTCCAGTCACCGCTGGTTATAAACTGGTCTGAAAAATACACGATTTAAAACTTATTTATCAAAAAAAAAAAAATCTATAAATAAAAATAAGATCAAATAACCAATAAAAGTAGTATATCGGTAATTATATTAAAAATAATGACTAATAATTTTATATACGAGATTTTGGCGGGAAAGGATCAACGGGCACCGCGCGCGAACCACTGACATGACGCACGTGCTGCTAAGAATTCCGTTTAAGCGCCAAAATGATTTTAAGTTAAAAAATAACAAAGGCAAGAGTAAAGAAAAAACGAAAATAAAAAAAAGCAAAAACAGCATTTGTATTTATCGTAATACATTTTTATCTTTTGAAACTACCGACAGGCAATTTACGAAAAGGAATATCCAATTTACCTGCTTTGGAATTAGTTCTTTGACTTTGTAGCTTCAGAGCAAGGGCTCGTTTCGTCATGGTAAAAGAAGAGAACTTCATTTGGCATTTCTGAGTATCAAAAGGCCAGTATTCTACACTGATTTCACAATCACTTGTAAAGATGGCGGGGGACCTCCAGATACATTGGCCACCGTCTCTTACAATAACATTGGTTTGAAACTTATTTCTGCCTCCAGCGACTGATATGGTTTCGTCGGCGCTAAAGGAAAAGAATGAAAGAATAAATAGCTGGATGGATGGATGGATGGATGGATGGATGGGTGGATGGGTTTGTGGGTGGATGGGTGGATGGGTTTGTGGGTGGATGGATGGATGGATGGATGGATTGACAGATCAAATAAGTTAGCATGTTTTCTTACTTGTTCAGCAAGCCCACATCAGGGACCCATATTTCAC